AAATATTCTTCCATTGGGCATTCATAATCTTGGCAAGGTCGAAGAGCTGACACTGTATGACATGAACCAGGAACTCATCGCTTCACTTAGAAGGGATGGTCAAGGCCGTGAGATGATTGTACATATCCCTGTGGTTCATTCTTTCACTCCTAATGGCCGGTCTTGGTCACTTGAGAATCTCTCTCAATCTTCTACCCCGTGAATCAGGAAACACAATAAATGTGTATACTTTTTTCTCCTGTTGCTCACAACTTTGTCTTCCTAAGAGATGAAACGGCTTAATGCATATGCTGGTGTTGTACCCCAATCTGATTAATCAATGTTTTTGTGTTATAGATTCAAAATTAATGTAGCCAAGTTGAGAAGAGTCATGTTCTGGATGGAGGGATACGTTTGTGTCTAGTTTTCTGGATCTTATTATACAAATTCTGCTGTCTTTCACTGCAAAACTGTACATTTTTTCCCTATAGCGCGACTAATATGCAGTAGTCGATAATAGTGCAGATAATAATGGACAGCTCAAGTTTGAAAAACTCAATAAAAACCGAAAGTTGGAGCTCATATTCATTGCCATTTCACCAGAAAATCCCTATCCGCTGGGAGATTTTAGAGTCAAAGAACCTCAAAATGAGTTTGGGCCAAAACTATTGTGCAATCTAATAAGCCCTCTTAAAGATTTGGGAAATTTACAGTTCAAAAAAAGGTAATTAGCGCAAAATGTTTGTATTGTGAAAATCGTCTCTATCATTTCTATTTTGATATTTGGACCATTGTAATACTCAGTTCCAAACTGTCAAAGGGACGATGCATTGCGCTTGGTTTATGATTTCAGGGTTTTCAATTCGAGTTTAATAGCCAAGGCAAAACCGTTCACAGGTTAACTTGTAATCCAGACAATACTTGTATGGATGATTATAGTACCACCTCAAAATTTATTAAGTGCACCACAATTTTCAATTTTTCTTTTATTTATATCTTGTTTGGTACTAATTAAAATCTAAATTTTAATTTAAGTCAAAGTCAACAATTAATTTTAACCACATATTTTATGGGTCCCACGACTTTTCAACCACACTTCTTATCAACTTTTATCAAAATTTATTAAAAATCCGATTTTAATCTTTACCAAATATGGGTTTACTTAAATAACCTTAATTAAAATTACATAATTAGAGTTAATATACTTTTTATTAATCACACCACATTATAATCTCATCACAAACCTAAACTTGATTTCTTCTTCTTCTTCTTCTCTATAATTGCTAGAGATCATTAATAAACTGATCACTTCTATTTGAAAAATTAATTTGCACTAATTTTAAGTTTGAAACTCAATAAAGAGTTGACCAACTTCCAAAAGCATGAAGAAAGATCATTCCTACAAAATTAGTATTAAAAAAAGAAGAAAATAAAAACAGTACCTAGATCTATGAGATCCCAATCACAATCCTCCAAATCCTTGGGCTTGCTTTAAACACTAATAATCCAACCCAATTCCAAGGCTAAACAAAGCCCTCTAAGTTAAAAATTGGATATCCAATATATCTAATAATACTTACATATTAAATCGGATTTGAGTATGAAAAGGTTTTGGAAAGACTAGACGATTGAGAGCAAAAAATTATTAGTTCTGTTGACCTCGAAAAATGGTTCCGACACATGGTCAACAGAACAAATCTTCACGTATGCTCCTCATGCGTACGGTAACACACCGTCAGTCACTCGTGGCATTTCTCGATGGGGGGTGGAGGCGGCTGCGAACACTCCGATTGTCAAGTTAGTATTTCAGTCAATCGAAAAGTGGTGCCAACGGTGAAATGGTTGTCGAGATGTAATTGAGAGCATGTGTAAATATAGTGGAATGCCCCTCAAGTTAAAAGATTAGAATGCAAAGATTTGAATGGAAAGCCCTACCTTACCCCTATGTGGAGGTATTTATATTAAAGAATGGAAGAGGAGAACCATTGGATGGGGGACACGTGGCTTCAAAGGTTGGCTGGCATTAAATGATTTCTGACATAACAACTGAGTTGACCATTTGTAGCCTGTCACACGTCTCATCAATCAATTAGGGACTTGACATTGGATAGATCTCCTTACAAAAGATCTTGGTAGAGGTGTGGCAAGGCAAATTGTGAGGCGTAATGAATGCAGAGTGCAGGCCTTTGCATCCGCTGTGAATGATGGATGTGTTTGGTTCTTCTATGGGGTGGGGCAATAATGTTTCAGTTCGTCCGACATGGATTTAGTTCGTCTACATGGATTCATTTCATCGTCATGTGGCAACACCATATCAGTTCAACCAACATGTAGCGGATGAGATGGATGGACAAGGTGGAGGGCCTTAGAAGGCCCGGAACAAGTTCATTTGGTATAATATGTATGTATGCGTGTGTGAGTAGCAATTACTTCCAACATCCATCTTCTTTTATTAAGTTTTGAAACATTTCAATGACTTATCTGAAATCAGAAATCAAGTTTACCGGCAGACAGACCCATTTCCTTGAAATCAACAAAAGAAAAAGTAAAGTTCTTTTTAAAAGATGAAGTTTACTTGTGTTTATATTTATTAAAATCCAGAATTCTTCTTCTTTATTATTTTTATTAAATTAAGTATATCATTGTAAATTTATTGTGGTGTTTTTATTAAAATTAAACACTTCCAAAAACATATCCAAATATGTTCAAAGCAATTTCTTAATTTCAAAAACAGTTTTTGAATTTTCAAAAATTCTACCAAACGAGCCCTAAATCTTCCATTTTAAAAGTCGTGATCACTTAATCAAAAACTCAAATGAAGAAAACAATGTCAAAATTTGACAATTAGAGGTAACTAATTCCTAGGCACAAATCAGAAGATACAAGTCGACATTGTCGATTCATATGCATAGTTTGGGTGACCTCGGGCGTGTTACGTTTCACCAATGAAGTTATAAATATTTTCGATAAGCTATATCAACCAATCATTTTTTTCCACTCTATTCATAATTCAACTCGCTTATGTACTACACCCACTCGACTATTAACCTAAAAAATAACACTTCTTTCTTGTGAAGAAATTATAATAGGAAATTAAATTAGCCTCTGTTCGATTTAGATAAAAATCAATTTTTTAGTAAATTTTGAAAAACAATTGGTGGAATGTGTGATTAAAAAATTGTATGTCCTATGAAATGTATGGTCAAAATTAATTTTTAATTTCAATATAAATTTTTATCAAAATTTCTAGCTGAACCAAACGGTGACTTAATATTTATTCTAGACGAAATTAAGTAATATCATTGAATTGATAAGTACTTAACTATCCATGAAGCCAGCTTCTAGTATAAAACATTTGGCAAATTTTCTTGATTATGATGTGATTAAGCCTCGGTTTGGTACACATTAAAATTTTCATTCTCATTCTTCTACTCGTTTTCAACCACACATTTTTCAATAAAATAATATTTTTCATCACATTTATAACTTTTCTTTATTTTTNTTTCAACCACACATTTTTCAATAAAATAATATTTTCCATCACATTAATAATTTTTCCTTCTTTTTCAACCACACATTCTCTATCAATTTGCTATTCTAGAATACATTTTTTCAAAATAATGTGGCTCAAACACACCCTAAGATTAACCCACGCCATTCTCGTTTTTTCATTTTTCATCAACCAAACTATAGTCCCCCAGTGAAAACTTAAATTAATATAAATAAATAAATAAAAAGTGGTGCATTTTTCATTCCATTTCGTATAAAAGCAACTTTCTTGACAATAACACACTTCGGGCCCATTTGTTTAGACTTTTGAAAAGTTAAAAGTTACTTCTAAGATTAACAATTTTCTTTTGAACATGTTTAGATACTTAAAATTGTAAAAAAAAAAACCCCGTCTTTCGTATTCTCTACAGAGCTAAGATAGGTCCATCAAGATAACATGTTCTTGTTTGACGGGGATTAAAATCAAAATTTTTATATAAATTAAAGTCGATAATTAATCTCGTAAGATTCATAATTTTTATCAAAATTTATTAAAAATCAGATTTTAATTTCCACGAAACAACGACATGACATGTTTTAAAAAGAAAAAAATTGATTGCGTGAAATTTTAAAATACCTAGGAAGAATGTCCCACCTAATGAGATACCTTTCTTGCCAACTAGCTTA